TAGGCAGATTCCTATTAATAATATCCAAAAATCTTTTCTAAGAGTCGTTGTTGTTTTTTGTTTTTTTCGTTTTCGCTTAAAAAATTAAGTTTTTATCAGCAACATCTATCACTATTTCCATAATTTTGTAAAACCGCAGCTTCTTTGTGTCTTTTTAAAAAATGAAATTTGCATTTCAAATTAATGGTGCATTTAAAATTATAATTTCACAACGTATTTATGCGTTTTTCTTTTGTTGCAATATAACCATTGTGTGATAAACAATACTTATGAATGTTTCTCGTAGCAAATTGAATGAATATGCCAAGGACTTACGTGGTTAAAAACTTCATTCGTTTCAAAAATAGTTTTGGAAATAACAGTCATGTTTCAAACGAGCAGAAACAGGCGCCCATTATCAAGACTTGCCAGACACAAGAATGAGAAGAAACAAAGGGGATTTAAAATATAAAACGTGTAAAGTTGCCAATAAAAATAGAAAAATAAAGGTGGGAAATTAAACTAGAAAAACCACAGTAGCCGAGAGAGAGAAAAAACGAAAAAAAAAATAAGAATAATAATAAATAAATTTAAAAAAAAAACCACTGCGGTGGAGAGGGGCAAATCAGGGTAAAATGTATTACCACGTGCTAGAGGTGTTGAAGAAATAATCTCGTTAATAAGGGAATCATCATTCATATGAATAAAAAAAAAAGATTCCAGGACATCAAGATGATCTGATGTGATGGGGGTGGAAATAATTTTGGCATTGTCGATATTGAATTTATGCATAAATTGCCTGTATTTGAGCTCTTGAAATATGTGGACTGTCATTTTCAATTTGTTTATTCTTGTAGCGAATAATGTTTTTAATCAAGCAATATATTACCGCTTCAGTTTCCTGGGATTATTTATTTCATGCCAAGGACTTATTTAGAAAACCCTGATGCCCCGGTCAAAAATCATTTTTGAGGGATTGGAGCTCTAATACTTCCATGTAATTGAAAAAACAACGGAATCGCACTTGCACTTACATTGTTTTTTCAGATGCACAGCAGTATACTTGTATGTTAAGAATAAAAAGTGCAAATTTTAGCATAAATAATAAATGAAAATAGTTTCTAACCACCGTAATAGCTGCTAGTAATAATTTATGCGTAAAAAAGAAAACAAAGTTAAAAAGTTAAAGATATTAACCATTATCGACGGGTGGAGAAAGAAAGAGCTTCCCCAGGATCGTAAAATCCGAGTTTTTATTTACTAAATAGTACAGATAGTTATTAATACAAAATATAGTATGAGAGTACGCAATGCAAATGTGCCTATAAGACTGGATAAAACTCTTTCTTAGAAAAGTATTCAAGTATTCACCGCTGAAAAAATCACGTTATACATGTATATATAATTTAAATTCTCTTATGTAATATACATGGAAATTATTCTAAAGTCTAGGAAATTATTCTAAAGTCTAACTTATTATTTTTTCCAACAGATTTTTCTTAATTTTTCTTTCTATCTAATGTCAAGAATAATTAAATTTTCATGATCTAAAATTTTCATTATAAAAATTTTTGAAAACCATATTTTATTCTTCAGCCAATTCTATTAAAAAATTTAATTTTATAACAAAAATAGTTATGGATTAAACGTTTAAGTATCTTTAGTCTGCAATGGGATGTCTCTTTTGACTAGATTTTCGGGGTAGTAGCCCCTTTTGCCTAACTTTCTGCTCGTCACTGAATGTACTTCCAAAAGTTGTGGCCACGGGCACGTGTCCCGAACGCCTTTCTCTAAATCAGACAGGACATGTCAACTACAACTAATACCCTATAAAATAAAATAGTTTCCGTCAGAAAACGCCATTTTCTTTATAAATCTTAAGATATTTTGAGGATTATCCTTTTCTTTAAAATGTCTGCAGAGTCTTCGAAGGAGTTTTAAGTTGATTTTAAAATGTCCTGATCTCTTTAGAATGTGTTGATTATGATCGCACCATCATGCAATGGTCATGATGCCTGTCTGTTTTGGGAGTAGTCTTTTTTATCTAGTTTATGAAGCCTTCGAATAAAAATAAATTTGAAAGAAATTTTGAATGTATTTGGTCCACTTTTTAAGGTTATATTTTTCAGAAAATTTTAAAAATTTCTTCTGATGATATCCCACTTTCCTTTCAATAAAAATGAATTCGAAAAAAAATTTTAATGTATTTCTCCCACTTTTTAAGGTTATATTTTGCAGAAAATATCAAATTCCTTCTGAAGTTATTCTACAAATTTTCTCTGCAAATTTTTTAAGAATTTCTAATGATCTTCTCCAATTTTTCCTCTCAATAAAAAAATGGATTTGGAGAAAGTTTGAAAGTATTTAGCCCATTTTTTAGATTTTGCAGAAAATTTTCAGAATTCCTTTTAATGATATTCTACTAACTTTTCTTTTTTTTTAAAATATGGATTTGAAGGTATTCTGACCACTTTTTAAGCTTATATTTTGCAGAAAATTTCAGAATTCCTCCTGAAGTTATTCTACAAATTTTCTCTACAAAATAAAATCTGTCGACAATTAAAATGTTTAAATAGTGGACATGTATCCTCTGGCATTCTTCAGAAAACTGGGCCAAAATACCTTCTGTAATCTTCTGCACACATAAACTTACGTCATGAATGCCACAATAAAATGGCATTTAAATGTTTACAAACTGTGCGCATAATGGATAGCTTACCAAACGCAATAAACAGGCAATAATGTCTTTTATTTCTCATGAAGATTTCCAGTTCTTTATCTGATAGAATCGTAATTACCTAATCTGTTAACACTTAGCATGTCGTAAGTAGAATTGGTTATCGCTAAAAATACAATTTGAAGGGAGACTATAAGGATTCTTCCTCCTTTTTATTATTATTATTTTTCTTTTTTTATTCATCAACCATAGTTCCACGTGGTCATATAAACAAACGCCAACTAAGTTTACGCCAAGTGAGATGTGTTTGCGATAAATGTTCTATGAGTAAGAGATTCTTTCCCTATTTTTTTTTTCCTTTCTATTTTTCTTTTCTTGTTAACCGGAAACTAGGGAACGTTAAATTTATGCTGAAGTTTATTTTTCTTAAAAGTAAGGGAGGAAATATGCTGGCAATCTTATGAGAATGGTTTGAAATTGTGCTCTGGAAATTCGACAGACAGTTTAGATTGAATCTATGGGAGTTTTTAACCGGAAAATTCTTTTTTCCTCATTTTCTTTTTATTTCCTATTATTTGATATAGTTGTGTAAAATTTTGTTGGCGAATGTGGGTTTTAATTATTTTGGCAGAGAAGTTTAATTTCAAAGTTTTTTTTTTAATTGAACATTTAAGTCGTGTTCTATTGATATATAATCAAGAAAAAGAAACAATTCTTTAATTGAAACAAAACCATATTTTGCGAAATATCGCTTTTGTTACACTTGTGATAAAATTTCATTTTCCCCATTAAATTTGAAAATGGCAATTATGCAGTCCACTACTTGTTTTTATGTAAATGTTAAGAAAGCTTGTTTTCAAATTTTGCTCATTGGTTAATTCGTTTCGCAAGTAGTCTTACTGTGCCCTTTAAAATAGAAAAGTCAGAATTAGGAAAAGAATATATTTTTTCTTTGTGAAAATGGTTCCATAAAAAGTAAATTTGCGGAATCATATTCTAATTCTGAATCTTTTTCAATCATTGACGGAATCATTTTCTTTTTAACAATTTCACATTTTTGATGACTAATAGTATGCCAAGTAGAATTGATAGTTCCTGATTCATTGTTTCGTAATATTGGTATGATTTGAAATTCGATGATCCAAATCATCTTAAAACTGATTGGAATCACTTGATTCAATGGCTAGATCAAATCACTATTTACCCAAACAGATTTAAATTGCAGATGAATCTGGTTATTTTCATCACTGATGTGGATGTAGTAAGTGGAAGAGCTGATTCTAATCAATATTTTAGATGATTCGAATCAATGCTCTGAATAAGTGGCTCAAATCACTAAGTGAACTGATTCGATTGATATGATTTGTTTCACCCTATAAATACAATGAAATTTTTTAATACAATTACTTAAAAACAAAATTTTAGAAGTGTACTTAATGTGAGTACTCTGTGTCTCATTTATAGCGCGAATTATTATACCATTATTATACTACGATATAGTCTTCATTATTATTATTAGCAAAGATAACAGTTATAAAATGAACAAAATCTATGAATCATGTTTTGGCCGCAGTGGCTCAGAGGACAGAGAGCTCGCTTTCCAATCAGGTGAGCCAGGTTCGAATCTCAGCGATGGTTAGTCTATACGAATTCTGCACCACGATCGCACTGACCATAGTTCCGACATAAAATATCCCCGGTGGTAGGCGGATAATGGGTTGGAGTCCCCTTGCCATCAAGATAACCACGGGAGGTTTTCCTCTCTATGTAATTTATTGCGAGTTTCATCAAAAAGTCCTCCACGAAGGCAACGATTCAGCGACACGATTATCAACTAAAATGAAATATAAATCATGCTTAAAGAAAACGTATTGGATATATATTTCAGCAAAAATCCCACTATTTCATTTGATTGATTATAATTTTTTTTAAAAATATGTCCTGAACTTTTAGACCCCCACTGTTTGTTCCTGTGAATACAAAGCATTTCCATAATTTTGTGATGAATTGTGTTTACGAACATTCTGTGACGAATGATCTGAAAATCTTGAATTTTTTCACTAATATACGAATCTGCAAGAGTGAGAAAATGTATAGTTTGTCTTTGGGAGGGTCATGACAAAATATTATTTTAGGTGTAGTGCACACGCCTTTCAAATCAGACAAGAAAAATAGTCAGGATGTCTGAAGTAAGGAAAATAGCTTCCTCAAAAGTGTGCGCAAAATATTTATGCATCTGTAAGAGAATCGTTCCATTAACACTGTAGCAAATGTATAAAATATTATGATGATAAACTTATATTTTATAAGCATATAGTTACATTTTTCTATTTTTAATTTTTAGACTTTTTGTACAGTAAGCTGACATCATTTCAAGCTCATGCCTGTGATGGGGAACAATTAAATCTTACCTGCACTCCAAATACTGTAATTAGTGTACAGTTCGTACAGTACGGAAGATATTCGACATCTAATGAACTATGCCCTGGGCAAAAACCATATTACAGCTCTTGCAACGTCCAAGATGCTTTAAAAGTATGTCAAAGACATTTTTTTTTCGTTTAAATTAATATTGATATATTAACAAAGTAATAAGACAACTTGTCAAGTTTGTATGTTTATAATAAACTGAGTTTTCCTGAAATAACGGAGATTGTTTAAAAAAAACTTATATTGAAAACGGAAGTAAATGAAAATAATATGTTGCGTTCTGCTTAGAAACCTAAGATTATACATTTTCACCAAGCTTCAGAAATCCACAGTGGCGGCTTGAGGTCCATCCAGCTTCAAATCGATTGTTACCTACTTGTCCGAGAAGTAAAGACGATCTGTGCTCAATGCTGACCACATTGCCACAATCATACCGTTGGTCACGAAATTGTGGAGCCTTAGCCTCCATGACCCCCCTGGCCCACAATGGGCTGTTTCGGTAATGTTTTTTTTTTTACCAAGTTTCGGAAATGGTTACAAATTTCGCCAGCTTTGCAGACTAATAAAATTATAAGACAATGATTTCTGGTTCATGTCAAACCATTTTAAATTAAATATTTGCATGGGCATCTGATAATTATGTCTTAACACTGCGCCATGTTGTTACTGCAAAGAGAGTTTATCTCAAGACATTGTTTTTGTGGTTTTTATCATTTTAACAGCGTCGAGCCGTGGTGGCTCAGGGGATAGAGCGTTTGTCTTCCAATGAGGTGAACCGGGCTCGAATCCCAGCAATGAATGGTAGATACGAATTCCGCACCCGTCTCGCTTCGACCACAGTGCTGATGTAAAATCATGACGGATCATGGGTTAAAGTCCCCTTGCCGTCATGCTAACCGGTGTAAGTTTTCGTGGTTTTCCTCTCCACGTAACATAAATGCTGGTTAGTTCCATCAAAAAGTCCGCCACGAAGGCAAATTTCTTCCAATACTTGATCCAGGAGTTCCCTTGTCTTCTGGATTGGGTTCAAAATTACAAGGCTACGGAGTAGTAGCAACATTAGTAGTTGTAAACCCAAAATTAGATCGGCTGTTCAACAACGGTTATAAAATTTTAACAGCTTCATATGGTGACGAATTTTGTATCTAATTTTGAAACTTGGTGTGAATTATCTGGTTTCCAATGCAAAGGGCAGCAAACTGTACAATTTCATCTTCTATAATTGAATTTCAAATCATTGGTCATATTTGGGATGCCAGGTAGGTAGCAATATTAACTACTTTTATATAAAACTGCGTTAAAGCCTTTTTAAAGCAAATTTATTAGCGAATAAAATAATAAATTTGGCAAAACAAAATGAGCAGAATATATGTAAAAGAAGAACAGAAACAGAAGCCTCATAGAGATGTTTGCTTCTAGTAGGTTAAGACAGACAAAAATCCGTATTTTTTAAAAAGAATATTCAGCTTTCAGGGGTCTGTTTAGAAGAAATTTGGGTCCGTTAACGGACCCTTCACAAAATATCTTTTCATAAAAACGGACCCTTCACAAAATATCTTTTCATAAAAACGGACCCTTCACAAAATATTTTAACTTAAAAGCGGACCCTTCACAAAATATTTTAAGTTATAAACGGACCCTTCACAAAATGATTTTTCTTTTAATCGGACCCTTCACAAATTTGTTTATCTTCATTATTATTTTGTTAATCGAATAAACCCTTTCCAGGGCAGGAAACAAGAAAGATGGATGTAAACGAATTAAGTTTTGTCTTCGGCAGACGATTCTTCCATTATTCGTCCGAAATTAATATTCTACGTTCAGCAGTATAGGCTAAATACCAAATATTTGTATGTTACATCTCTAATTTAGAAGCAGCTATTGTTGTTTATTTTTTAAAATGTAATTTTTTTAATTATAATTTTACAGTGTTGAGCATAATCTTGTATGTCTTTACAATTTAAAAACTCATTGAAAAAGGTTTTTTTTGCAATAACGAACCCTATTTGCACAAATTCATAGAAGCGGATCCTGGTTGAAAGAATATGAGTAATTTTTTCACAATTTCACGAAAAACGGACCTTTCACAAAATGTCTGGACAGACCCCTGGCTTTAAAGATGCGTAATGTAATATGATTCTTTTAAGTAAACTGGAGTTACCAAAGAGCACCGATGTTAATTAAAGGAATGAATAACAGTAAAAAAATAATTTTTTAAAAAAATTTTCAGCTATAGCAATGTGTTTTTTTGGTAATAGCAATGCACTTAATTTTCGGTATAAGGTACAATTAATTCACAATAAATAAAACAGTTATTACATCTTATTAAGTTATACGTAATAATAATAACTTTAAAAAATTCTTCATTCAATTATTTTAACAGTAGAAATCAAGAGTATGCTCTTACATATGTTCTCTAATTATTACCCAATTGCCAATCTAATTAACTAATCTAATTATTACTAATCCAGCTACATATGCTCTCAAATTATTGCCCAAATTCGATTATTATTAGTCTATGTTATTCATCGTAGAACTTTTTAGTGCTGTTATATTTTCTAAGCAAAAAATATAAATAAGATTATTAAAAACTTAATTTATTAATATATTGATTATCCTCTTATCCTTTGTTAGTAATTAAACTCTGTTTGGCACTGGTTATTCAAACTCAGTGTCAATTATTTCTTTATCCTTTTTTTAATAATTAGAATCTATTTGCCACAGGTTATTCAGGCTCAGTGTCATACTGGAAAAGTATGTCGGCTTCTCATATATCCCGATATGTTTCCCAGTGATCCATGTCGTGGGGTACAAAAATACGCCGAAGTCATGTACAAATGTAGACCAGGTACTAACCTTATTACTCTATTTTTAATGAAACTGTTTATTATGATGTACTTTTCATTATACCTAATTTTGACACTCATCTCTGAAAAAAAGTAATATGTGTATGTTTGCAAATAAAAAAGAGTTAACTAAGAACTTCATAAACTGAAGATGACGTGTAAAAGCACAAAATTGTAGAAAACAACGCTTAAAAGCACAAAAAGTTCCACAAAAGAATATATAGCAGCTTGTAAAAGCGCAAAAATTTCGACAAAAGAGACAAAAACGTGTAAAAACACAAAAATTGTCACTAAAGAATCGACAGCAACGCGTAAAAGCACAAATAATGCCTTAAAAAATGAGCAATAACGTCAAAAAATAAGTAGACTAAGTTTTTACACGTTGTTTCAACAATTAGTTTTCTTACAGTTTCTTTTAATAAATATGCTTTTTTTCTTCTTGCTGATATTAAAGTTCGATTTATTTCTGTGAAATAGCATTTATTTAATCGTCTGTTGCAGTAATTATGACAAAACTTTCATCTGTTTTCTTTTTTAAGTAATCTTACTCATTCAACGTGGAAAGGCAAGTTATGAATTAGCAGGTACAATTTTCGATAATATCGATGCACTTTATTTGTAAAGTTTAAGTTGAACTGTAATGAAACAAAATCAATAGAAATCTTTTAATTTTATTCTTGAAAATCAATGTTATCGTACATCAGAAATTTTTTTTAAATCAATCAGTTTAAAGTATCATAAATGTAAATGTTTCATAAAGTATCATTAATCTTATTGCAATTTCTATGTTCGGGGACAAAATGTAATGATTATCGCTTAATTTAATCGATTGCTATTTCTAATGAACTTATTCTTTTTGCACTAAAGATTTTTAACTTTCAAACTTTTAATCATCAGTTATTATATACCAACATTATTAATTATTGGTCGTCCACCTAATAGGGTGGTACCAGTGAAACACAACAAATCTTCCCTTCTGTTACCCGAATGATGTACGTATATCAATATCGAGATGGACATTGGAAGAAAAAAAAGAAAAAGTGAAAAGAAAAGAAACACTTAACAAATAATCACGATTAAAAGACACAGGAGGTTTTGATGAAGTTTCAGAAAATCTAACTCTTACAAAGTTTTTCTTTTTACGCCACTCAACCATAGTGAAAACTTTATTTCATAAAATTAGAAACAAAATTTCGATATAACTTTTAAGATAAACTACCCACACTTTTTGAAAAGTAAATTCAGAACGTCAATTTTTATTACCCATAAGATATTTCGTATTCTCTGTAGGTATTTTCGAAGAAAAGTGGATCAATTTGCATAAAAGTTCGTTACTGTAAATTTTCTTTCCTTTCAACTCGCTATTTCTATCGAAGTATAGATTTTTTTCTTCTTTTTGACAATTTGATATTTCACTTTCACATAGTTTAATCATTTTCAGAAAAAAAGTAATGCTTTTGAATGATTGCCGCTTCACTATAGCCACTTTCATTTCTTTAGTCAAATTTATTTAGATGCCTTGTTTTATGTTATTACTGAAATACTCCTTTTCATAAATCCCGTGCAAAAATACGTGTCAATTTAGGTGGGTCCGTATTGACAACCATTCTTAATTTATATTTTAAGAATTTTTCTCTGAAATGAAGTCAAAAAAGTTTGCTCGTAAAGTATTAGAAATTATTATTTAAGTGAGGAAAAAAAAACTAAAAACGCTATTAAATTCTAATGAACTTAACTGCTGAGGTAGGCGAGACTTAAAATATCAAAACTTTGATTGCTCGAAAAAGCGAGAGTTGAAAGGTGGCTAGTAACTTAATTACCTCCAAGTTTCCTCAAGCAATCAAACTTGAGCAGCGATGGCTCAGAGGATAGAGCGTTCGCCTTCCAATGTGGCGAACCGGGTTCGAATTCCAGTCGATACAAACTCCGCATCCGGCTTGCATCGACCACAGTGCTAACGTGAAATATCCTCAGTGGTAGACGGATCATGGGTTAGAGTCCCCTTGCCGTTAGGCTAACCGTGGGAGGTTCTCGTGGTCTTCCTCTCCTTGTAACGCAAATGCTGGTTAGCTCCATCAAAAAGTTCTCCACAAAGGCAAATTTCTCCCAGTACTTGATTCAGGAGTTCCCTTGTCTTCTAGATTGGGTTCAAAATTATAACGCTACGGAGTTGATCAAACTTTTTTTGATATTTAACATCCCGCCTTACTCATTAGCGATTCGACGCATTATAACAACGCATTTGTTTTATACCACGCTTAAGCATCTATTTGAAAATCCTAATGCACATGGATACTTTTCTTTTGATAAGCATTCTGAAAATGTACAGTAAAAGCGGTGATTACACAAGGCCCTGTATTTTCCCAACATTTTGACTCAAAAATTGTAATCTCGCTTTATTGACATGATTAGTTTTATTGCTTTTTTATACTGAATTTTTTAATAATACAGTAATCCGGCAAGTCAAAGCTTGAACGAATTATGCTGAGTTTACTTAATTTTCCAATTTTTTATGATAAAATGAGTTATGCTTCAAAATTGAATAACAACAATTAAATGCTTGTTTCCCTCAGCAACCCCCGTGGTTGCTTCTCATTCATTGTAGTTTTTTTCTTCTTCTTAAAAGTCAATAAAAAGATCATTTCGTTTATAATAAGCAGGCTTCACGCCAGCAATGAAAATCAAGTGGTCCAAAAACTTCTTATGGTAGAGAAACAAGAGAAATAAAATCAAACTTTATAATTACATAATTCATGTTATGGCACGTATCAAAAAATTATAAATTACTATCTGAGACACCTTAAAAATAATTAAGTTCATTGCCTTATAATGATTAAAGATTACTATTTAATAAAATGAAGTGAAAAAAAAAAAATTAATTCTAGTATTCAACATTGATATTAAAATGCTGAGAGCAAATAAGTAAATAAATGAGGAAAACAGAAAAGTAAGAGCTAACAAAATATTATGTTAACAGTTAATTATCTAAAAATTATAAAATTTTAAATAAAGTCAATTTTACTGAGAAAGCACATGTAAAATTTTTTTAATCCGTAATATCATTTGAATATCACGCATTTGAATTCCAGACCACTAGTAGAACAACAAAATTAATAAAACGATTTTTTTTAAATGCAAAAAAATTGATGAAAAAAACTTTTTTCTTTACTATTTTGTAAATTTCAAACATTTTTCAAGGCGACAATTGTCGCCATATTGGCGTTAACTCTATAATAATAAGTTATATTATTGTAATTTAATGTAAAGTACATTCTTTTATTATGGTAATCCTAACGAAATAAATGATTACATGGATTTAAAAAATAATCAAAACGTTTTAAATTGCGATGACTTTTGGACGAATAAGAATTTTGAAAATATTTTTATATATCGGGAGAAAAAGAGTTGCGCAACAAAAATTAAATGGACACTATCAAACAGTTAAAAAGGATGTTCAGTCAGTTTTTTTAGTTGATTCATAATGAAGCAAAACTTATAACCGTCAATTCATTAGTTGGAAGAAGCAAAAAACCCTTAGAATACCACCATTAATGACGTTTTTATGATCTTGTCCAGATTTAGTGAGCGCAAAAAAGTGTGTTTTTGTAACGCTATGTGTTACTCAATTACATAAGAGTGAAAATGTAATACGTATTGATTTAGTAACATGAGCCTATTTTCATAGAGGCAACACGTGTTTACATGACATCAAAATTAATGAAAATTTCTTTGATATTAAAAGACCTTAAGTTTAATTTTTCTGCGCCGAAACTAATAGATGTCACATGATTTTTTTTAAAAGTAATTTGTTACAAAGAACAACTAAAAAATTTCAAAAAAAAAAAAAAAAAAAACGGATGGTATTTGTTTCTAAATATACTTGCGAGTTTTTACACCGAAGTTTGTTTTAGTAATAATGGCACTCTAATGCATACAATTTAAATTTGCTATCTTGATTTTGTTTTGCCATTTAAAATATTTATTAATTTAAGTTGTTTATTTTGATGATTTTTTATCCTCTTTTTGTAATAAATATTGTTTAATTAATCGTCAAACATGTTAATTTGACGATTATTTAACGCTTATAATTTTGCACTTTTAAAATGTACTTTAAAAAAAATTCCGTGAAATAATTTTAAAATTTATGATGACATTATAGGATTTAATAAAAATAAAGGGAATTTTTTGGTTATGATAAAAACGAACTCATGTGGTAAAATAATTTTTTCATTATATTTTATTTTTGGAAAAGAAAATGAAAATACTCTGATCAAAATAAAATAAAAAGTATTGTCTTTAGTTTAATATTGTATCGTGGATGCTTTTATTTGTTCATTTTTTCAGGTAGTTTTAAGAGAAAATCTTAGACTTTTCTAGTAAATTAATTAGTTTTTTTTTTATTTTTGAAAGTACCACAAAACATGCAAATTTCAAATTTATAAAATTAGAAAATCGGATAATGTATCATTTGATTTACATATTTGAGGTGAGAAAAAAAAAATTACTCTCAACATTTTGATTGTTAGAAGAAAATTCAACAAATAAACAAATAGAATAACTAGGTTTTGCCCAATATAATACGAGTTCTGAAAATTTACTTAACCCTACCTAAAAAGGGATGGTTTTTAAAGTATCCAAAATGGAACGTGCTTTTAAAATATTTAGACTGTTGTTATTTATTTATATATTATAATTGTTTAAATTTCAAATAAATCGATAGTGAATGTATATAATTTTAAAATGAAATAATGATTTATTGCATTTACAGAAGAGTTTCTGAACAAGGTAGCGTGCGAAGACAAATATCTTTATCTAAAATGTCCCCCTGGTCAAGTTATCATAATTTTATCTGCCTATTTTGGTACCACAAAAGAGGATGTCATCGATTGTCCACAAACTGACAACACACGAACTGAAGGTAATGTCTTTTACACCTTTTCTGTCAAAAACTCATTTCTAAATAGATACTGACAGTTCTCATTTATTCAATTAGATTGTACAGTCAGTTACGTAGATCAGACTGTTGATAGAATTTGTTCAGGAAAGGAGAACTGCTCATTGTTAGCCGATACTCTTACATTTGGTGATCCAATGTGCAAAGGCAGAAAGCATCTTAAAGTCAAGTATAGTTGTGGTAAGAACGAATCAATTATTTAAACTTTACTCTTTAATAGCAAATCCTAGAACAAAAATTTAGAAAGTTGGAATCTGTACGCATCAATCTGTATGTTCCTTAATTATCCCAACTATTATATATTTTCAGAATTCTTGTATAAAATGAAGTTAAAAAAGAAAAAAAATTAGAGGTTGTAAATCAATATTAAACCGAGACAAAAAATTTGAGTTTAAATCTTAAAGGATTACTGTGAATGAAAGCGGGATTAAAAACATCAAAACTAGCTTGATTGTCATATGAAATGGTGTATCAATTCCTATTTTATCAAACAATTAAACAGGTTTTGGTGGTTTTTAATCCCGTCTTTCTCAATAGTATATTTGTCAGATTTATATGACTATTTTGTTTCTTGGCTTAAATTATGATTTACCATCTATAAATCCAACGACTAATATTCTCTTTTTGGACTATTAAAAATATTCGAAAAACATACGTTTAGGACGGTTGTTAAGAAATACCCTGTACATACAGAACAAAAAGGGCCGTAAAAATAATTTTTCTGTAAAAAAAAAAAAAAAAGTCATTAAAAGCTGACAAGAATTATTATTGAACTCAATCCGAGCAAAAATTAAATAATATCGAACTAGTAGAACTGTAAGTCATCGCAAATTAGGAAAATGCTAACATTTGTGCAATATTTTAAATGGCTGTCATATATGCGATTTCCTTAAATAAAAAAAAAAAGTAATATAGAGTACAATTGCAATTGGGCTCTTCGTTGTCCAGGTATTATCTGAATCATTTGGTTTTTGCAGATAGCAAGTACGAGGCGCATCCAGAAAGTAAGTTTCCTTAACTTTTAAAGAAAAAGAACTCACACTTTCAGGAACATATTTATTGGCAACAAGTACAGCAATGTTGTAGCTATTATTCAACATAGCCCCCACCAGAATTGAGTCACTTGTCGTATTGTGGGATCAACTTTTGTATCACTCTGTCGTAGAACTCAGCCGCCTGTGAATGGACCCATTCACACATCCATTTATTCATCCGCAGATCGCAATTTTGACCTGAACCAGAGAACGATTCATCTCCAATTAAGTACCCCCGGAGGTATTGATTTGTTTAGGAACATGGAAGAATATGTGACCCGACAGATTTAACGTGCATCAGTTATCATTTACTACACGTGGAGTCTTTGGCCGGCTGGATTCGAACTCCTATTGTCACAATCGTGAGTCCAGCGCCCTGCCAACCAGGCTATCCCGGCCTAATAGAATATTATTAGGGTTAAAATATTGAAAAATGTTTTTGACATTTAACACCTTATTTTTTTTCATATTCATTGCATTTTCAAAGAAACATTCACATTATTTGAAATGAGAACAATAATAATTATCTAAAATTTGAATATGTATGTTTAGTCCTTTCTATATTTATAGTTGAAAAAATGGTTCTGGTGAAACAGTCGATCAGCATGTCGTCGGGTGAGAGTATAGAGACGACTTCATTTCCCGGCTGGTTCCGTGGAAAGGATCAATCAATGAAACAGCCCAATCATTGGCCTCGTAAGTAGACGTTATTCTTCTTCTTCACTCTCTCATCTTTTATCATAAGACTTCTTTTCAAACAAAACTTTCACATTATTTTATATTGCCAGGTCGGTCATTGAAACTGCGGTTTAAGGTATCCGACTCGATGAAAATCAGCTATCTCTATTTTTTTATTACTATTATTATGCATATTTGAATTGTAATTCATTAGCTTTCAAAAACGCTTTAAATTCTGTCCGATTTTTAGAAATGAAATAGTATATATATTTTTTTAATGCTGACAGACGAAACTTAAAGTAAAGGCCCGAAAACGAAACTAAAATACTTTTTGCTTTGCTTTGAAAATTTAAATCCTTTTTTTGTGTGCATAAACTATATTTTTAAGACAATAAAATTCATGTTCAGGAATTAATTTTCGAAATATTAATTTTTTGTTCTCAGAATCTTTGTTTCATTTCCCGTAAAACGTTGATTTATAGAAAATTTATTCACATTACAAAAAACGATTATTAAAGTTTATCATAGGTAATAAACGTTAATTCTTTGACATTTTGTATGTTTATTTCATGTAATGTTGGGGATGTTTTGAACTAATAGATAAAGTCAAAGTGTGATCTTGTTATATTTATCAAGCTTTAAATAAGAACATTTAGAATTTTTTAAAAAAAATTCAAGATTGAGCAATATATTTAAATTTATTTTATTGTCTTTTTAAAATTCAAGACATGGGTAGTCACATTGTTGATCTAGAAAAAAAATTAATTTGCAATGTATGGATTACAATTTGTTGTGGACTTGTTAGCGTGCTATGAAAAAATTGTAGTTAAGCTCAAATTTTCCCTTATTTTGAAAAATATTTTATAAATTTTTAAACTTCACTTAAAATTTTTAATTTTAGGACCCCTTTTGCCAAACATAAAATTAAAATAAGCCTTTAAAAAAATGTGGTCCATTGGAATACCTTAATTTTTTTTTAATCATGCAATCATTCATCTCAGTTATTTATGGTGATGCGAGTATTAAAAATATAATACCCATTTTCAGTATATTTAAATGAAATGTAGTATTAGTACTATGTTTTCATTCACAACTCTCTTTCGTGTCATGTTTGTGAGGGTGAAATCTTTCAAATCAAAATTTCGACCACTTTTTGACTAACTAGAGCGCTCAAATCTATTTTAAATCCTCGTGGTTGTTTCAAATCATTTACCGACAGTTTTAAGCAGAATTTATATCGCAGTTTTACTGCTCAATGGAATTCGTCATTAATATAAATTTGACCTACTAGTTAGATAGCACAAATTTCATTTGAAGCTCTGTGCCTGATACTCATACAAGTAACAATACACGACTTGTCATGGGTGAAGCCTCTGAACTAATTCGCTTAATATCTAATATAATATCTCTAAATATTTACTTTAAGTTTTGTTTTTATTCAAAGCCAGGAAAGAGGTTTAACCGGGTTTGTTACTTTTAAAAAGCTTTGCTCGGAGAGGAACAAACACATTTCGAAACCGGTATGTTAAGATTTTGGACAAAGCCGAGACAAATATTTACGTTTTGGTTGTAAGCTCGGTTGGTTAGCATTTAACTCCGCCACGCCACGAAATGAAAAGATGTCCATGCTTTCTTAAATAGTACAAGCAAATTCGTCGCCCATTGATTGTACAATTAATGTAACAAACAACAAGATTTTATTTTAATTCTATAACACATGTAGCAAACTTAACTTATGCTCCCAGAAAAACTGACCATACGCTGTTTTACTTTCAACACTTAAAATTAATTAACACTCAAACTTAAAACCAAAGGGTTACATAAATGACGATAAATGTTACTCACTCATCACCGAACAGTTATTTAAGGTAACGTTTTAAAGTATGAATGAGCTTGAATGTCTGAAGTACATTCAGGAATGATTCCAGGTTGATGGAACTATAAATTTTCTGGGGAATTTTGAAAAATTTCATAAGTGGACCACAATGACCGATTTTCCCTCTCCGTATAAAAGAAGCTTAATATAGAAGTTGCTAGACATAAATAAATTCACTGAATGTTTAATTTTTCTTTCTTTAAATTTAGCAGGTAATTATATTGGGAGAACGACCGAATCATCGGACTTGTTAAAATCAGAAATGCAAAGTGATGAGGTGCCCATCGATTATTATAAGACAGGAAGTACGACAGAGAAAAGGAAGATAGTCGGTTTTATGTCTGGATGGGTATCCGCTCATAAATATGTCCAAGGTAAGTTTAATTTCGTCAGTAAATAAAAAGACAGTTTATTTAATCAAAGTTAATTAGCATAAAACAATGTCTTGCGTTAATTCTATAGTTATAATTTTCAATTAGCCGGCCAGGTGGCCGAGCGGTCAGCGTGCCTGACCGTGAAGCCAATGGTTGCGGGTTCGAATCCCGCTTAGGCTTTCTCTCTCCCTCTGTTGTGGCCCACCCTATAAACGGGTATCTATGGCAGTGTGACGTGGGTAATATTGCTCGACGACGTGACTTAGGTTCACACGTGTCCACTGGGCAACGATAAATGAGCAACACTTCCGGCATCTTCCGAGGTGAGAATGAAAAATCAGTGCCTACCGTAAAAATAACAATAATTTTCAATTACTATGCTTTCAGACTGCTGTTGTGTTGATGTAACTAAATTATCAATTAAAGAGTGCAGTACAGCATTTTTATCAGTGCTTTATCGCATATTTATAAATTAAGGGCAGAAAAAGGATTTTACTTTCTACATGTATACAATTTTCTTATTTATTTAGTTACAAATTAATAATATTGAATATTTTTTGTTTCATTTGTGTCCGAAATTGCAGGATTTCAAATTTAAAGGTTGTATGTTTTTTTTAAAACTTTAACTATGTAAAAAAAGATATTCCGGACATATAATTTTCCGTTTGTTAATATGGAGAAAGTAAAATTTTTTTTTCTATCTAAAGAACCTATTTATAATTCAGAACACATTATTTTATAACTCAGAGAAATTATAAAATGACTTATACGGCAAATAACCTTTTAAAAATAAAGAGTTTGAAATAATTTAACAGATACTTTCATGTGTAAAGAGTAGAACAATTACTTTTCCGTTTAAATATTTCCGCGATTCTCATAATAAAATATTTAAAACGGAATTGGAATTATAATATTTAGCTTGAAAAATTGAGACAGAAATGAACTAGATAAAGATGAAGATATTAGAGTGATAAATTTTCGACAGTCAGCGATTCAGTTCTATTAAACGTGCTTTGAGGAAAACTGCTAGAAGAGTAAAATACAGTGCTTTGTATGATGTACCACGTTTCTTTATCTTTGTCTAGCGTATTCATTTTAAGTTTTTCAATGTGAGAATCACGATTCGATGATTTAAAAAATGCAATAATAGTTTTAATTTGAAAATATCAAAATTCTGAAATTTTTATCACTATTCTTAAGCGCATAACTATACAAAATTTAATTCCATTATACAAAATTTAATTACATTCTTTTCATGTCATCCTTTAGTGCCAACTGTTAGCAAAGTTATTTATTATCACCTTGTAAACACTAGGATTAGATATTAAAGATGATAAGGCATAGATTTTAAACTAATTTCAATAATTATTGACCATTTTGAAGATTTTCATCGGTTTTAAATTTTTTTAAGTGGAATTCATTTACAAAAATTAAATTTTCATTAGCATTGTTTCCGGATTATGACATGACTAATTCTTCTAAATATCAATTTTTTTGAATGAAATATTATTAAAATTAGTTTTATATCTGTAATTTAAAATTTAATTTATACAACTTTTAAGTTATTCTTCACCTTACCATTTTTAATCTTAATTACATTTCGTACAGTGGTGTTAATTGAATTAATAAGATAAGCATACCCTCTGTTCAGTCAGTTTCTTTAAAGAAAAATTTGTTTTCCAAGACTTAAAACCCTGTCTTCACTTAGGGGATTAACGCGAAGTTTCAATTTATAATAGGCGACGGATTAGTTTTACAAGAAATGTCACTGAACACCGGAAAGCATTCTCTTCTTAATGCCATAGAGCTTAAGACTGCCAACTAAAAATTAACTATGGCGATAAAATTTCATATTTTAAAAACAAAAATCATATTTTTGGAGTAATGAATTTTGGAATCACTTGTCTTTATATTTCATTTTTCTCCTTAAAATTAGTGGATTTGCAAAACACATTAGAAATAACTAATATGAATTTATCAAAACGTAAAGTTCCAGGATTTTTAAAAAAATCTTTTTGTTACGTTTAATCTTGTATGAATTCTAACCAAATTTTTCTTATAGTTGTACGTTAAAAAGTTAAAATCGATTAATCAAAACAGATATAGATAAATTTAAGAAAAAAATTCAAGTAACAATCTTTGCGTAGAATTTTCTCTAAAAATACTTTCTTCAATAAAACCAAAATATTCTTACAGTAGTATTTGTGAATTTAGTACTTACATGGACTGTGATCTCAAATTATTTAGTTGCCACTAAGTTATGGCTACCCAAAATAGACCTCTACTTTTTCATATTACGTGTGCAATTAAGTAGAATTCGTTATTATTAAAGTTGCGTTTCTAAATTTGAAACCCTAAAAAACTTAGCTGCGAACAAAAATTTAAAAATGTGAAATGAAGACAGTTTTAATCCAACATGTTTTACTTTTTGTCATCAAACCTTACATTTTACATGGAAAATTCTTTTTTTATAAGGTATTCCGTAATAAGGCTTTCAATGTATGTTTTTAGAATCCTTGTCAAAAATGAAGTAAAATTATTATAAAATACTTAATCGCGAATTAGTATTATCTTACTATTGAGAGAACCGCTGGAGAAATGATAAATTCTGTTTCACCTAGATTAATAATTTAAAAATCAAAGTTATAAATAAGTTCAGTCAAACAGAATAAATCACGAAATTTTGGGCAAATGCATTGATTTTGTTTGTATTTTTTTCTTCTGCATTTGAAACTACATGGCTTACCTAAATTCACTTTTCTTTCAACTTTAAAACATCAATCTAGATGAAAGAGAATATTACACGAAATCAGTCTATTCGATTGCGCAAGAAAACAGGCGCAGAAAGGTGATAATTAGAAACACCTTCAACTGGCACTCTAACAGGTTTTGGTGTTCTTATGCCAGCCTTTTTCAATAGTGATAGGGCAATATTTTTTTCATAATTTATAAATATTAATTTGCTAGCCCACAGTTTCTTTAAAGCACTTTTTTACGAAAATACTAAATAAATTAAGTGCGTCAATCAACACCTCCTAGAAGAGAGAAGGCCTCGGAACGGATTAATTTATTACCGAACATAAACTGCATAGAGGAGGTAAAATAAGAAAGATGTCACTGCGTCCGGGCTACTAATCAGCGCAGTGAGGAAAATGGTGTCAATACGTTTGGACTACTTAAGAATCAAATTTCTTGTTTATGGTTTTTCCGTGCTGAGGCCTTCTCCCTTCTAGGAGGTATTGGTTAATTAAGAAGCACTTTGTAAAAGCATACTCCATCAAATGTAAACATCATTAATTTACATTGAACAAAATGGCAATCATTTATCCTCATGTTTCAGTATCATAGTTTAATTTGGCTTTTTATTTTCAGGGAATAAAGATAAATTTATTCTATACACCACAGTCAGCTTAGGTGTCGGATTCTTGCTATTCATAACCGTTTTGGCGGGACGGCTTTTCATGAACAGAATGAGAACAAAATCAGATGACGACAACGTTATTCACATTACTCCAGAAACAGAAGATCAATTTTTCAGTGACAGTGATTTGGACCAGTTCGAGCCTCCAGAACCGCTGCCACTACCAGTGAACAATTACACGGCTTCCATGAAAAGGAAAGACAGTGATGTGCTTCCACGTGCACCCATTAATACCGGCAGAGATCTCAACCATTATTTCAGCTGAAAGAGTTGGGTGACAATTTTGTAAATAGAACCTTTTAAACGAAAGAACAAGGGTGATTTCTATTCTCTGCATTATATTAAGTGTCATTCAAAAGAGTAGATATTGATTCCAAGTCAATAATTTATTATTTTGCATAAGGGTTGACTGTTAACAGGGACACAAATAGTCTCCTTTTATAAGGATATATATCTAATGTGCATTTAGGACTTTAATGCTATTGTTGAGAAAACGAAAGCAATGTTTCAGATATTGCTTGAAATAAAGACATTTTTTTCAAACTTCTAATTAGTAAAGACAACAGTATAGACTCTTTCGATATTTTTTCGGAAAACTAAGTTTGTAAAGTTACGAGTCTAAATGAATTTCAAAATTAAAATTTTGAGTTAGTTGCAGAGCATGCAATCCATTTAAATCTTAATTACGATGTTGTTGCTGTAGTAGGCCATTAAGACCTTGGGGTGTTATTGTTTTCCAGTGGCGCCATCTATGGTCAAGAATTAGACCTCTGTCACCGAATACTTAACAATGTTGTGCACTTTTTTTACTTTCTGAGATGCGAGATGAGAAGTACGGTTTTCTGGAAAACGCCATTAAAATTAGAAGATTTGTATGGGTTGCACAACTTCACGTCAATCTCTAAGCTTCTACAGAAATCAGAATTTCTTTTAAACATATGTTTAAGCTAAGTAAGCTTTAGAAAATCAAATCTAAATAAAAGTTCTACATTAAACAGTCGATTTCGTTGTACTCGAATGTTTTTCCCATCCTGGAATCATGCGGTTCTAATTAGATAACAAACAAAAAGTGTTTGATTCCCGTATCAAAATCCAAAATTATCCACCATGTACCGCTTTCGTAGAAGAAAAGGGTCCTAGTTTCTTGTGAATTCTAGGATATTTTGCTTTCTAATGCATCTAGAGCCTCGAAACTTCGATAAGGTAGATAATTCTTTAGTCACCAAAATGATCGCCAAGTTGACAACGGTCCCACTGTCAATGAGAACGCCTTTCCTTAGTAAAATACCACCAAGCAAAAATGTGGATCTTTATGAAAATGATACATGGTAAACAGAAACCCCACAAAAATTCGTTTTTTTCTTTTAAAGGACATTTTTCATGTAGTACAGTGTTGTTTTCCCTTAATCATCTGAATTTTGCGTCAGGATTAGTGATTCATTTTCATTCAAATTTAGTACATGACTGCTTCAGTTGACTTTTACTTATAATTTAACCAACTATATCATCTAAATAAAGAACGATAATTCATGGTTATGTATAAATGAAAATAAACAAATGTATAAAACACAAAGCATTAATTAATTTATTTATATGACTTTCTATATATCTGTTACAATCGAACAATTTCATATAAACTTGATTAAATTTATTCAAGCAGTATGTTCTATTTCATTTTATATAGAGCTATGCCTTTTTCTCTCTTCTAGTGTACATATTTATTGGCAGTTTTCACTCACTCAATTAATATATTTATATATATATAAGCATTTATAACGATACATTATATTCTTTTGGTATTTTTTTTTTCAGCTACAAGGCATGAATATAAGTAGGAGAGTTACTAGGAAATATAATATACAATAAATAACATGTCCAAAAATACCTTTGTACTTAAATAATTAATCTAAAATTCACAATCTGCTTTGTTAGTATTTAAAAGTTTAGCTAAAACCTGGTATATGATATGTTTTACGATCACTTCAGTAGAGTACCAAGTAGCTCAAAAACTTCACTATTTAGTTCACTAAATTTTAGCACATTATGATAGTTTCAGTAAAATAAAAATAAATTGAATGGGAAATTATCTGAATTATTCTCTGAACTAAATACTTTACAACTCAATGTATTCAAGAGCACATCTAGTATTAAAAGTAGAACATTTATAATTTTTTAGAAAAATTAAATCTCCCTGTTTATCTATGTATAATTAAATACATATTTAAAACAGATATTTGAGAAATTATTACTGTCCAATTTAAAATGTTAGCAATTTTAAACATTTTTACGGTGCAAAAATTTATGAAAGAGAATGAAAGTATTAATTCAATTTATAATCTTAAAATTTTTTGAAATTCAGTGAAATAGAATTTTGTGTAGTGAAATTTCTCAGTTCAAAAGCCTTTATAATTTTAATATTTAGGGATTTCATAGTTAATTTTGTTATGTAGGAGAACTACGAACTTACGTATGAGTAATAGATAGTTCTTAGGATATGTCTTTCTGACTGTGCTTATATCCAACTGCTTTTACATTTAAATTACTTATATGGTATCAACAACATAGGAAAACGTCCAAAACTTACGATAAAGATTTTTATGAAATAAATATAAAAACTAAAATACTACAAAAAAATAAAATTTTTTTTAAAAATTTTTAAATTTGAGAACTACTGAAAAAAAAAAACTTAATTGCAACAGAAAATTAACAATGTTAAATTTGAGCAGAGAATAATTCAGACAATATATAACTATATCCTAGTTCAATATAGCATATGAAATAAGCAATGCATAAAATTGATTCAATGACTTTATGTAAGACTTACCAATGTCAAAATATTGGGAACTAAGTATTTATTGAAAAATATCACTATAAGTACTTTGCATTTACGACTTTTTTAATAAAATAGACTACATTCTTTTCAGAATTAGCTTCAGCCGTTGTTATGGGTAAAAAGGAATACAGATTTTAGCTTTATTCATAAATTGACATTAGTTTTTCTTACAAATATGCATAGAATCATACCTTTGAGCATTTAATAATAATTTAGACAGATATAGCCAAAATTTAGTTTAAATACTATAGATTATTATTTCTTTTTACTATTAGAAAATATTTAATTACTTTAAAACTTGCATTATAATGCTAAAAAAAGAATATATTATACAGGAAATATTTTTCGTTAAATTAAGTGAAATAAACAGCGGGAAAAAAAAAACTACTTGCTAGTATTTTAAATAATGCTTTTAATTTTAAAATCTGATTTAGAAAGAAATTTTGATGCCAAGTAAAAGGTTTATAAATTAGGAATAGTAATAAAAATTGGCAGCCATGTACTACTTATGGAAGAATAAAAAAGTATATTTATAAATGATTTAGAATCCAGAGAAGTTCATTCATAAATTATTTTCAAAAATTACATAAAAAAAAAAACAAACTAAAAATCACATATATTAAATAGATTGTACCACTATTTTCCTGTTAAAAAAATCTAATAAAAAATTGAAATTTTGATTATGATAATTTTTTTTCAGCCAGACTCGACCACAAATAGAGTAGTTTTTAAACATTACAAATATTTGAATATTTTTAGATAAATATTTCGTGTTAACAAGTTAATAGTATAGATAAGATGAGTGATTATTATTAAAAAAAAATATCTTCTTAAATGTGGTAAAATTTTCTGTAAGGACACAAAGGGAAGATTTTTGAAAGAAAATTGAAATGTAATTAATTAATAAATATAAAAAGTAAAAACAAAAGTTAAGAAGTAACTGAAGAAACAAGTTAATAGTTTTTTTTAATATCTTTTTAAAAAGCAATAAACTACTAAAATCATAACAGATATTAATATTAAGAATCAATCAATAGTAAGAAATAATCCAATTCAGTTATTGCTTTAATGTGTTCTTTCCTTAATGTGTTAAGTAGTTAAAATATAACAATTTGAAAAAAAAAATTAATTTTTTATCATCCTTGTTATTAAATAGCAATTTAATGAATATTGATGAAAATGGATACCCCGAAAAATTGGAAATTGCTTGCAAAATTGCAGATGCCACATTTAATACATAGAATGACAAAACAGTGATGGTCCTGCATAGATGCACATAGTGCTGGAAGTCAAGATGTATTGTAATATTAAATAGATTTGCCATAAAATAGTATAAGGTGTATAAAACTATCTTTCCGTAGTGATACATTTAAACCTAATTTTGATTAATTTTTAATTGAGAGATGCAACTGTGAGAAAAAAAAATTTATTATGCAAATAAAAGTGAAAAAAATATTCAGCAAATTTACAGTTACACTGCATCAAAGTACTATTTTTATAATACAGTACAGATCCCGTTATCCGGAAATCAGAGAACCGGAAAACCAAAAAACCGGAACGAAATTCAATACATTTTCTCGCCATTTTTTAAAAAAAAAAAATTTTTTTTTCCTCATAAGATTTTACGATTTTTCTTTCTTTTTTTAAAGATGTTTACCTTACCATCATTTTGGAAATAATCATTAGTGTATTACTTCATCGTTTTTTCTTATTTTTAAGATTATTTCCAAATTTTTTTCTTTCTTTTTAGTTGGGTTTAACAATAGAAAAAAAGGCTTTTTGTAGCGATTCAGAAAACCGGAAAAATCAGTTATCCGGAATCGTCCCGGATAATCGGTTCCCTACTGTATTCAACAATGAAAATAAAATAATCTGCATAAAAATTATTTTTTACCCAACCTGTCATTTCTAACAGAAATTTATCATTAATTAGAAATTTGTTAACTTCAAATATTATTTCCGAAATTCGGATAAAAAAATGGCTGCCAAATATGGCTTTGTTCTGCTCTAAAAATAAGGACCTCAACATACTTAATAATCACTTGATAGATCGCGATATAATTATATATCGTTACTTTGACGATAATGGAATCAGTAATGGAATTGTGGTATCCTCATGTTTTAGATCGATACTAAACAATTTTTAAAACAAAAATTTCTACAACTAAAGTTCTACATTACATTAATATACATCTAAACTATAACAAAATTCATATTTATTACAAACAAGTAAACATTACTTAAACTAATTGCTCTAAAAATAAAAACTTGTAGTAGCTAATAAACACTAATATATTATATTATTAATAACTGAATATAAACTTCCCTACAATAATGGAAGAAACAGTTTCAGTTTTTATATTTTTTTTAAATTTCTCGAAAAATACTAAGAGGATTATTTTGTAACTTAAGAAGTATTTAGTTCATGAGATTTTTCGTACTTATTAATAAAGTTTAAAGCTTCCAATGTCATTTTGTAGAATTGCAAATTACATTTTATAACATGAAGTGTGTGGAAAACCTCTTACTTTGAACTTTCTTTTAAAAAAATATTAAAATTATTCAGAAAATTGATTGAAATTTTTAAGATATTCGAATCAGACTTTTTCAATAGTTGCCAAGTATGATTGATTCACCACAAAATTATGGGAAATTTTTTTTTGTCAATTTTTCCTGTGCATGAGCAGTATAAAGAAACTACTTTACATACTTATAATCTTTCACTGTTTTATAAATTCTTTACAAATTTTAAAACAATAATTTAGTTATTTTAAATTGCTTTGAAAAATTTTGTTTTTGAATATTTTTAAAGTTAGAGCAAAAAAGTTAGATGAAAAAATTAGTTTTTTAAAAAAAAATTAATGTCCATGTCTCCATAAATAATTAAGCGAGGTTTTCGAAATCTTATGTAGTTATTGCAAATAACAACCAAAGTAATCGATACAAGTTACAATCTTATTGTTTAATTTTCTGGCATAGGGTGTTAAAAAAAAACTTGTTTTCTTTTGCAATTTAGTGCTGGTCCCTCAAACCTTATTGCTAAGTATGAAAAATTGCATGACCTATACACCTCTAAAGTTATAAAATAATCTTCTAAGTATCTCTTGAGAAATTTTGAAAAAAATGTCAAAAGCTGAAAGTGTCTCTTCCATTATTGTAGGGTAGCGTAGATTAAAATTTAACTAAGTAATAATCAAAGCAACTTTGTGACAATAGAAAACAAATGCTTTAGCATTGACAATTAATATACAGGTTTATCTTTGAACAATAGTTTTTACTTGGTACTTTTGTTTAAGAGGACAGATAGAGGAAAACTTAACATCATAAAGTATACAATTTTAAGAGATATTTTTACTTTCAATGTATAAAATATACACACATCCCAAAAGGAATATTTATAAAATTTTCAAGTGAATAAAAAACCATACATTTGAACATTAAACTGAAACTTCCCCTGCGAAGTGTATAATTGTAACAACATTTATGTGATTTAACAATAACATGCAATCATCGTGTAAGATTTATTGTACAATAATTTGCATGTGTGAATTGCAGGAATTTACATTAACATAAGGCATTCTTGGGGTTTCTTGATATGTATCATTCATTTCTAGATTGTTCTATAGATTTACCATCTGGTACAACAACGTGAACTTATAGTCTACTTTACAATGTGCTACACACATTTGGTTCTATTGCTATAGTAATATATTTATATATCATAATACGTGTAACTACATACTATAGTGCAATAGTATATACAAATATTTTAGCAATTTAACATGAATTAATCTGTTTTGTAAAAAACACGCATACATGTGCACAGTCA